AGAAGGTCGTTCCCAAATTGGCAAAAGTCGTAAAAAAGATGAAAGAACTGGAATCATCTACAAATATATAGATATCAGAGCAAAGTAGCAACAGAAAGGCAATAGAATAAATCCCAATACTTGATTAAATTAACAAAAACCATAATGTATGTCTTTTTGTAGGCAAATTGTTTGTGACTAATTTTTTTCAAACCAATCACTTATAGACAAACTAGTCTCCATTCATAAATTTTTATTAAATAAATATTGTTAGGGATTAAAAAACTAGTTTGGACTAAAAGTCAGGTATGATGTATGGTCATGGCTGACCCTTTCCCAACAAAAAAGTGAAAGCCTTTGTTTTTAGTTTTTTTTTTCACTTTTAAGACGATAAGCTACAGGGATGACCTTCTTAGAAAATGTAAAAAAAACATGAGAGAATGAATGGAGAATTTCACAATAAAATATTGCAATTTAATGGAATTACATTTTAATAAATAACAAATATATAAACACCAATGTATATGTACTTTATATCAACGATAGAGGAAACACTCAAAAGAAAGTTCTAAGCCTTCAGCCCTATTCTCATGTAAGTTAGACCAAAGATGTTTCGACGTAATAAAGAAATATTTTAAACAAGGCAAGGTTCTTTTGTTTGAAAGGAGTTTGAAGACATAAGAGACAATATTTGAGGAAAAAAGAGCGCAAATATCGCTTTTTACTTTGATAAAATCTTTCTTATCAAGGAACAAATCTGAAACTGGCAACTAAACTTCAATAATAGCACAGACATGTTTGCAAAAAAAAACACTTTAAAAGTCAAATTAGATAAAAGGATAATCGGTCACGTAACCGCCATTGTGGTGAGCTTTCAATCAACTCACGTACTTCGTAAGTTTGCATATTAATAAAGACAATCAAAATTTAACTTTAGTCTCACAGCAATAAGGATCCAAGTTATAATATTACAAACATTAGTAACAAATAAGAAGTCATGAAACAGAAACTTTGTTTTAGTTAAAGAATGTATGTAAAGGTTTGTTATGTACTCAAAAAATTTGCTCCCTCGTCATGTTGCAAATGCGATGTATGCCTATGTAGATGGGAATGACGAAATAAAGACAAAAAGGTTTATTTATTTGCCCCACTTTGCGAGATCAAATCGATAAATGTTAATGACACATCAGCACTAATGTGGCACGACGCAATTTCGACACTTGTGATGCAATATTATCTGACTGAATAACGGAATCCGCATGTATGTACTTTAAACCACTACAGCGGTAAACTTGTGTTTATATGTGTATTGTACTAGGTGTCGCCCGCGACTACGTTTGCGAGGATGAAAAAAAACTTAATTACCCTTAGTACTTTTACTTTTTACCCATAGTAACCTCTACTTGACTTTTCGTAAAATTGAATCGATCGTAATCAAAACATGCACAATAATGTATTTGGTAGGTTCACATGCAGTGTCAAGAACACTGAATATGTACAAAACACTCATCGCAAAAAAGGATATGCAAAACAAGATTTGCAATAGATTAAAAAAGTTGCAAACGCTTGAATGTTTAGTTTTTATTGAAACCTTGTGCAAGGAAAAATTAAATATAAAAAGGTTTAAAATGTAATGTCTTATATGTAAAATCATTTCGAATTTGTTATACAGTTGATGTATGATATTACATAATGTAGGCTGAGAGGATGAAATCACAATTGGAAGATGAAATGAAGTTTCCAACGTGAAGTGTCACATATGTATTCTGTTATCTATCAGTAAGTACTTTTGTCAAAGTATTGATGTGATCCTCTCAACAAGAAGGCTGTCAATTATCGAAATAAATACACCTATCCATAGACGTCGTACGATGGCGATGATAAAAAATCTTGGATATTACTAATAACGAGTTATATCACATACCATTAGGTTAACGACCTATCTCCTCGCTTACATAGAGAAAGAGATATAGGAAATCCCACAGATAGATTATAAAAAATTGAAGAAAACTGACGATAGTTCGCGCAAATCGAAAACCAATAATTTATAGTAGCGATTTCATATCAAATATCAAGCTGGTTAAAAGTTTCGATCGATCAAACATATCACTGAAATCGATTTCTTTCGTTGCGCAGCAGAAAGGTCGCCAAACCAGTTGTAAGCGCGGCACTGGTGTCTCGAGCGACTCGGAACGTTAGGCGTATCTTGGGAACTAAACGTACTACCTATATGTTTGTGACATTGTTAAAACCAGGAACACATACATCTGGTATATACTTGCGCGTAAAGAGGAAATTTGTGTGGTAGAATCATGACAGAGACTTTATTTATGGAGGGTACCAAATACACAAAATGACTAATATGAAATGTAAATTTTGTGCAAATTTAAATTGATACCTTTGTAAATTTTATAGGAAGTAGGTAATTGAAGATAAATTAGTTACTATTGTTTGATACTACTACTAATATCACAAAGACAAAAACGCGGATGAGAAATAATCAAAACGCTAAGGAAACAGCAACAAATATGAAAATTTTTCTTTTCTAAAGATTTTGTTAGACTATTGATGTTACAAACAAAGGTTAGTTAATTCCGAATATTTTCCCCATTTTAAATGTAACGAACTTTTCAAAACCTGATAGGCTCTTCAAGTAATAAAATTGCAGTAAGACTTTCAAGCTTTCGTATAATATGCTTTCTTACTTGTATTATCGTAGTTTGAGAATATCTTATATTAAATTAAAAAGTAACAAAGACTTGAGTAAAATTTCAGAACATCACAATTCAGACGTCTAGACGGTTCCCACAAGAGTCGAATCTTGGCACTAGTAAATCAAGTTTGACAAGTATTTTGGAGCATCGAACTTTATTTTATTCGTTAAGTATTACGTAAGAGTTTATTCTAATTTCATTAAAACACAGGCTTGATATTTAACGACTTTAAAAAAAAAGAAAAATATGTTCAAATAATATAGAACTTGTTTAAAAATGTAATGATAGCAATAAATCTTTATAGAATGTTTAGTGTTTACACACAAGTCAAAAATTTATTAGAATTCGGTAGCATAACAACTATCTCGTATACCTTAACAAAAACACAATGAAATCAAAAGTTATAGAGTCACTTTCATTACCGTGACTTTCAAATGTTATCAAAAAAAACCTTCTATTAGTAAACATTTCACTAATATAATTTAAAAACATAAAATCAACCAGAGATTGACTAATAAGGAATATTACGAGCGCAGCTATATAAAGTTATAGATCGTTATTCTTTATCCTTGTGCCAAATTCAGACTTAATACAAACATCCATAAAAGTTTATAGTCATTATGTTCATAAATGTCTATTTCAACTTATAGGGTGATGCATCAACTTTATTATGATTTAATTTACATTTATCAAATTCAAGGAAAAGTGGAGTGTAACATTTTAAATCATTCAAAAAGTTGGTTTTCGTAAAACATAGCCATATTGCACAGTTTACTCAAATCGAAAAAAACCGGGGTTAACGTTTACTATTACTATTACAATGAATGAAATAACCATTTAATAATATAAGGCATAACGTCTTAGCTTATTTGCAATTAAGAATATGCGTTTTCACTATGGGAAAGGCCTATGCCAAGCATTGGGGAGGCAAAGGCTGTTGATGATGATGATGATGATGTTTGCATTATCTCACTTTAATATTATGTTTTATAAGAAAAAGTTGAGTGGCATAAATCATAAAAATAAATGTAGGTTCAATGACCTATCTGAGTCGTATTTGTAGACACTATCAATCTATAACTTTATATTGGGTGTTGAAATATAAATAAATCGTACGACACAAAACTCTGCATTGTCTTGCGGCAAAATGATTCAGAATTGATAGAAAAAAGGGATGAATCAGCTTTTTACCTATAGATTTGAACAGGATGTAGTTATTGGATATTAAATTAAATTAATCGTCCTGAACAAGTAAACTAATCTTAGTAACCACATCCAACTGAGTGATAGTTCTACTATTCCTTTAGAAAAAATCGACGCTGTAATTAGGCATGAAGCTGAAAAAATGCTATGACTTTTCTAATATAAATCGTGCTAAAGAATATAACGTAACTAATACAAGAAATATACAAAAAGCACACAGTTAAATAACAAGTTTCAATACTGATTCGGTAATGTCATTGAAAACCTGATTTTACATAATGACTTCGTAACTCTGTATTAATTTGTGAAATTAAAAAAGTGTTAAAAATTGGCAAAACTAAAAGTTCAGATGATTTATACGTTCGCGGAACCGATAATGTGAAACCTGTCTATTTCTCGTAATTTATTCCTTTATTTGTAAGGATCGGGCGGGCAACAGGTAGATGGTCCGCATGCCTAGCCAATGACAGAGCTCCGGTCGCTTGCGTTGACCTCAGCCCAGACATTTAACTTAGCCTCTTTGTGCCCGATATGAATTATTATTAATCAGTGTAAATTGCGACATGCGACATCGACGTCGATGGAACCGCCTCGTAATTACAAACATTAGCGAGATACGACAGACTTGCATAATCATATCAACTATGTATGTTCCAAACAAACATTCATTACTCGATACCTATATAATAAAAATAAATTCTTTAATCAGTTATGTTCATAATACTTTCAACTGAAAGCGCTATACCGATAATTAAATCTTTTTCAAATTATCATTAATATAAATGCCGTCAGTTCTGATATTAACACATAAGGCGACGCGGTTTAAATGCAGGAAGCAATTCTCACTCGTATAAACCGGTAATTATAGGCGCATTAAAAAAAATTGCCATACGAAATTTCAAAGCGCCGCTAACGGAGAAAAGTGGTCACGACAGACTCGAACTCGTTCGATGGATTCTCGGATCCGACTACTGTGCATTTGGGACGGTGGAAAGAGAAGGAAGTCATATGGGTACCGGTTGCATTAGGAGAGGGAAAGAGACAAGCATAGCTGCGTACACGCCGCGCATCAGCCGGCAGCGCGCGACGAGCGGGCGCGCGGCGACGCGCGAGTGCGCTTTCCAGTCCGCGCTCCCGACTCGCAGGCGACTGGCGTGCCCCTGCGACGCCTCCACCGGTTTCAATCTACTCAATATTATGTCCATGACGTATCATTTAAACTATGACGTATAACTGAACGAGTACGCGCCACGAGCCCTCCGTTGTGTTGTGACGTTAGGAAGGACAATTAGTGCACGTAGTTTTGGGGAAGCGACGAGGGAAAAGTAACTGTTGATTTTAAAGGTAAGTTAAGTTGTGTCATAAAGACTCGGCTGGACGAATCGGAAACACGTTTCGGCGACGCAAGGAATGCAGTTTGACGGCATGTGTATGGTATATGCAGGAACAAAAGCCTTGTGCACAGTCATCGTGGATCTCTTTTTACTCCGAGTGCTACCTCGTTAGGCCGCTAGGTAAACTGAGATTCCATCCAGACGGTTCAATAACTTTTTTTTTTAAAAGCACAAGGTGTTAGCCATCCCATAAGCCTACCTGTGGAATACTTTGTCACTACCTGTTTGTAATAAAAGACAAGGGTTGTCCCGAGAAACATTTGAATATAAAAGACGAGGGAATAGGCCGTATTACTAACAAATCTCGGTAATATTTCCATATTGTTGCGACACTAATTTAAAATTGAAACGAAGCAACGGCCGTATCGTAATGTTAGTGGTTAATGACCCTCGATAGTTTAGGAAAAAACGTAGAATAGCTTGTGCTATTTAAGATGCCAATCATTACTTTTTATTTGTGGCACAATATTATTTTTCAGATCCGCAATAATGAAAGTTAACGGCGACAACAATGTTAGTCTTTTTGTGAGCACAAAAACGAAATTGGAAGTATTGATATTCTCACTTTGATTACAATTAAATGAATATTGAAGGTGTTTAGTTAATATTTCTAATTTAACGTCACACAAACAATTCAATCATTAGCATAACTTCCACGTAATATTATTATTCATAATTAATTACATCAATGGAATTAAAAGTAAAATAACTGTACCGCTTATATTAAAAGAGAAAATATGTAGTTACTTGATATGTGTGGTTTCAGAAATTACTAGCCCGAAATAAGACATAAGAATATATTATTTCGGTCTACTAATTTCTGACAAATTCTGCCAAAAAAAAATATAAGCACAATGAAGAAAAACCCACGTCTACCTACATCTCTAAAAATTGGCCGAGATTAGTTTATCCTAGGTTAGAAAAACGTGTTCTTTATGCCATATCTGCCCATATTGGTTGTCTTCTTTTCTAACATTGGGACCGCATCAATGAAGTTCGATGGAACATTCGTTCTCTTACAATGGGCATATGATGTTACATAACACAATACGTCACATTCAACATGTGAGAAGTGAAGAAGAGTTTCCCACAGTAGTGCGCGGGAATTAATTTCATTGTACTCCGGTGGCATCTTTAACAGGTCACACTTGTTGGATTCCAGTCACGCGGCGTGCGCGCAACCTGCATCGATTATCCCGGACTTTAGTATATTTAGAATACACGTTCTATTTATAAATACAATCCTTATTTATAATTGTGTTATATTTATGATAGAAAAATAAATTATAAAAATATCTTACCAATATTATAAACACGAATGTTTTGATTTATGTTTATTACTACTACTCTAGAACGACTGGAACAGGATTGGAACATAGATATACTGGAATTAAGCAGAATACTTACTGATACTTTGATTCGACGCGAACAACGTCGCGGTCGATAGCTAGTTTATGATATAATTAATTACAGGTTTGAGTAAAATTTGCCGGTTCTTTGTTCTATGAACGTATCTCGTTTGAAAGCCAACGAATTGATATACACCGCGCGTCATAACAATTAGTATGGACTTGTTTTACAATACGCGACTCGCTTACCAATCTTCGCGAACATATCGGTAACTTTGACCTTTATGATAGCCAAGTGAACGTATTAAATGTTTACAAATATTGATAACATCATTAAATCCTTCTAACCAAAAGGAGTAAGCATATAGCACAAATTAACTTAAGCGTTAATATTTTAACATTATTAAAATACATTATATTATGATGGATCAATCTTAACAAAAAACTTGACATGTTTTGTTTCTGAATTAAAGTTTATTTTTCATGCAAGAATTACCGGAATTTTAACCAAAAATAACACACATGTATTTAACAATATTTAAGAAAAGAATCTCAAGGTTTGTTACCAATGTGGCTTTGCTTACGTTATTCTAATTTTAAATATAAAATAGAGAATAAAATATATTATGCTTATTCGATGAGCAAAAGCTTGAAGTTATACATGAAACTTGGATTATCTGAAACGTGAGTAAAACACAAGGGTAACCGCAACATAGATATGCGATGTTTCCGTATTACTTGATATTGTTCCGATGACACACAGCGGTGCCACAGACAACCTAAAGATTACCGTCTAACCACCTCACTATATAGGCGAGATACCGTGGGTTTCTGACACCAAAACCGTTTAAAACATATTAATTTCATTAAATACAAAGGGTCTTCCTGAGTAACCAATTAACAAGTCAGGGTATACGGTAACGATCATATTCTTTTGTTGGATAATCCAGTAACTTTATTAGTTTATGTTCATTGAGTAATCCTTCCAAGAATCTTCTAAAGGCACTCATTAGGAATTCAGGGAATACAAAATAGTTAGTCCATTAGTATTTATGATACCTTCGGATATAATCTACAGCGTTACTTGTCTCTTCAATCAGTGGTAGGAAATCCTAGAATGGTATTGGACAATACTGCTATAGCCATAGATTTTGAGCTATGGATTTATTCCAAGACAAGTTTACATGTGATCGGATATTTCATTTTTATTACTTGAGGTTCTTCCTCGGTTACCGCTGTTATCAAATTTAAAACAGATCGAATTATGAGATTGAATACGAGAAGTTGTTGTTCGTTTGACGTCGTCACGTACAATTACGACAGACAATTCACCATTCACTTGCATCCGACCGCAGATTACCTAACAAATGCAACGCGTATCAATGTCGCGTCATTAGATACGCTTTTACACGCCCATATCGTTATTTGAGCTCGTCTTTTAGAAACTTGACACAAAAAGTGTCTACAAGTGTTGTACAACAAAAAGTGTAAACAAATAAATATATTTGCCTCTCTCTCTCTTTTATTTCTGTCTTTCTCAGCCAAAATTGCAACCACATAAATGTTAGTATTTTAACCGAGAGACGTATTTGGGTGCTTTTATTTGCCCACCTTGTATGCGACTACACTTCCTATTGTTAGCGATTGACTGCATACACACGGAATTCCTTTCCCACGGACTAGTCGCACTATGTGAGCCCGCCAGTCCGCCCGGTGGTACAGAGCACAGACGCGATCGTCTCCCGCAATTAGTGTTCATTCAGGGAGCCGTCGCGTGCCGTCCGGCTCAACAAGCGATGCGCACAACCTCGGCTCGCCGCATTCTTAGTTCAATTTAAATTATAATGACTCATTAAACATGCTAAAGATTGCATAATTTGTAAATAAAACAACGAGAAAAACATAATAAGAATATTATTCATTATCAAGACAACGTATCTGGTTTCTAGAGACGATACAAAGAGAACGCCATGACGTATGCGTCTGCGACTGTCATAAAAAAAGAATGCTCCTTCGTGCCCTTTGCTCACGCCCATGTTATTATCACTGAACAAACAGCGCACAAATCAAACACTCGTTAAATGAATACTTTAACGATACGAGATGTTCGTTCAACGACAATGTCATAGACATAATTATGATAATTCCGGGTAGTAGAGGACTAATGTTTGATCGGCCGTTGCAGAGAAATTCAACCGTCAACCGTCGTAAGTTCGCCAAATCGTTCAACATTGTCGCTACGCAAACTACAAAACTGGTTTCAGCGTAAAATTGGCGTCGGCTCGCTGCAGGAGTAGCAGGCCGGGGCGCACGGAGCGAGGGGAGGTTTGAGCGCAGGCGGAGCACGGGCCGAGTACCGGTCGACGACCCGCCGCGGCCCTGCGCCCGCGCACCATTCGCCTTCGTCGCGGTCGACCTCATCCTACCGCGATTATGAGATTATGATAAAAGGTTTTCAAGTGTACTTAGTTCATCTAAGATTTACGTGCCAAGACATATAAACGTCTTATTTAAAAACTAGTAACATTACAAAATAAAAATTATTTTCGAAGAGCGTTTAAAATGATATTAGTTTGTACCTAGCATGTGACCTAAATAACAACGTGGACACTGCGTAGGAACGGGATCAAGAAGTTGCGAAGGTCAGATCCATTTGTGATGAATTACCCACTAGGATCGTATTCATTCAATTCTACTTGCATATTTCATAGCGACAGACAGCAGTATATTCTCAGTACGTTACAAATGCATAAAATAAAAATAGATATAACGATGTGTCTATATCGACGCGTGTGACCGCTTGAACTGTGAAGTCGAATATTGGTTCATAAAAAACGCGGACCCGAGATTCTAATGCGGAGCGTGGGCGAGAAGTAGCTACATCGTTAAATTATATGAGAGGTCATCGATTGAGATGTGTGACTTCGGTACTCAGTCAGTTGTAATGCCTGTATGATTTAACGTTGGAATCTTTTAAGTCCCGAAACCGGACCTTTATCGGAGCGACGAAAGCAAATATAGATATAAATTCGGGGCACTGTATAAACAGTGAGAACGTACAGATTACAAGAAGGAACGTAATAAAATATACCGTTTGAATTTCGATTTAGTATGTGCACCGTATGGCAATTGTCGGACATGTCAATGTGACGGTTTTATAAATAGACCCCTAACCCTAACCATTGTCTGGTTGTTTGGATCTAAACGTAAGCATATAAATGAAACAGGTTCGTTTGTTACAGACAAGAGGAAGAAATAATCCAAGATGGCGCTGTTTGGTATGGCGTCAGCGGTGGCGGGCTTCGTCAAAGTCCGCTACCTGATTGACAAGGCTGTCATCGACAACATGGTGTTCAGAATGCACTACCGCATCACGTCCGCCATACTGTTCCTGTGCTGCCTTCTCGTTACAGCCAATAATCTTATCGGTAAGTTCTTTGTTAATGCAACGACCTCTTCCTTTGTATTTTAGAGATATTACAAGAAAACAAAACAGTACAGGTTTCCTTTTTTCCGTTGGGTCTATCATAAAAAAGGTTTAGTTGTTACTTTTAAGAATTTATAATAACTTAAGTCATAAAATATTTCAAGCCAATATTAGCGTAAAGTGAAAGTTTAATAACAAAAGTTATAATTAAGATCAACAATCACACCATTGCAGTATTAACCGTGAAATTGAATGACCTAGAAACCGAAGACCAAATAACCCATAAATATACTAGGAAATAACAGTTCGTCTAGCCGGACTATGTGATTTTGTAACAACTGTAAATACATGAGTCACTTTCAGTTCATTCGGAGCGATCGGTGTATGTAACAGTTACCCAAATCGAGACATCATGTCAAATGAGACGTACAAACAGAACAACGTGGTAGCATACGTGATAAGGTTAATACCGAGCGTGCATGGGACATTGAACTTGACGCAAAGTTACTCTTCCCAACAAAGTAAAAGGTACTTCGCTACATGCATTCACTCACGCCTTTATTTATATTCTTGTTGTGTTGTATATTCAATGCCTTTACATTTGGATGCTCAGAACAAGTCTAGAACAAATCATTAAGCCTGTGGATTAGATTTCCATTCCAATTAAATTAATATTATAAAACGGTTTTATATGTCTACTACTTCAGGAGCTAAAGGCACATCGCGATTATCGACATGAAATAGTTCGTAGTTAATAAAAGGCTTTGAGTTTATTATATTCTGTTCTTTATTCCTCTTTCTTTGGGTTAATAAACTGTAGCGTTAGAAACAGTTTAATATTATAATCCACAACGTTGATTAGCTTGTAACAGTGTCAATAGCTAACTGCAGGAATTTGAACTCCAGCCTCTTTAATGACATGTAACATGTAAATAAAAAAAATAATTGACTATATACAATAAAGTACATTATTCCGCTATCAAAGTAGTGCAGACCGCGAATGAAATAACGACGTCTATTATATTCATGATAGCAATCATCTTGAACCGGTTTCTTTATTATACATGCGTGCGCATACACGATCAAATGGTGCAGAATATAATGTCTGGATTGGAATTATCAAAGCTGTAACTTGTACTACGATAAGAGGGTGAACAAAATTAAATGAAAACTATTCATCTCTGATCGTATGTGTCCATTGATCTTTTACAGATGTAATTTAAAACAGGAACAAACAGGCTAATTTTTTGTACAAGAAATTGACACGTGCTTCCCACATTTGGAATGTTAAGGCATGTAGCATCAATGTTTCATTAATAAAATGTTTAATAAGGAATAAGATGGACTTGTTTCTCATAAAGTAGCATAACTGCGTCTAGTACTTTTATACATTTTCCATAACTATGCAGTTTTCGAAAGGTTTTTAAAATGAGGGGGGGGGGTGTAAAATAAACTTATTACTTACTGACGTGAATAAATTGATTACAACACAGACCAAGTCACGTCTAACTTCACCACAAATCGATATGAGCGTGTTATTTAATACTTTTTAAATTCCACTTAAAGCGTGATGAGTGGCCAGTTAGTCAATTGTTATTCATAATATTGGCGCTATATCATCAATGATCATGATCCGCACAGTAATCAAACGGTCTCAGGTTACAATTTCAACTGAATTACTGATTAGTATTAAAAAAAAACAATTGCTTATGCAAGACACATAGTCATATCTTTACACAAATACTAATGAGGTAACCACGCTGACACGAACTTTTAAGTATTTTTTGCTTTTAGAAAATGAAAATAATATTTGCTTTTTTTTTAATACTTTTAAATCCTTTTCAATTCCGACTAACAATGATAGAATAGAGCCCCTAGCCGTAATACAAATCCTTACAATTGCTCTCGTTTCCCCTACAACAAATTATTATTATTGTTCGTAGGCATAAAAATAAAATGAGCATGTGCGTGGCAAAAGGCGTGTACTCAAGCTGTGCGTATGCGCATTATTATTACCTGCACAAATTACCGGACCTAGATTGCATTAAATCACGTTCACTATAGCTAAATGTCATACATTAAACAACATTGTTATGAACGTGTAATAAATGTTCTTATCCACGTTTATACAATTGCAAGTTCTAGATTCAGTGAAACTAACTTATATAAATTGTTTTTAGTTACCTACTTTACAGTTACCTTTACGTATTAAAAAAACCTATCCAGTTTGTAAACAGGTGATTCTTCTAGCAATTATGACATCATATTTTGCAAATTAATTGTTAACAAACTAAAGAAATGATTAGGCATGACCTATTGTGGTGGACTAAATATAATTTTTATCACATCTTCGTAGGGACATGATCCTATTTCATTTTTACCAAGTCGCATAAGCATTGTAAGATAAGTCAAATGCAACGTAGTAGTTCGTGACCCACTGTCCATTGCATACGCCTGATATTGCTAATCGAAACAATATAACGATAACGGTTGTAATTAGATCCCATCTGTGAGAAAATTATAATCGAAATTAAATCAACACATCTTCGAAACTGCAGAAGCAATTGATTTAATTGTTAATTCAATTAACTTTGTATTACATGTGAATGCAAATATTATTTTGTTTCTTTTTATTTTATATCATCACTCAAAATTATGAAGTCTAACTTTTTGATAGAAACGAGTTACTACATATTTGGTATCTAGACTAGCTTAAGAGGAGCTAAAAGAGGAGGTTTTCAAATCATCTATGTATTGTGTTTAAACAGTAAGACATTTCCAATTGATATGGTCAACGCGACATTTTATAGCGCATGTCGCATTCATCATAGTATCTCATAAAACTTGGTATTGCGAGAAAAATAAGTGAGTATTGTTAAAGTAATTTAATTACACGTAATGGTAATATTTGTTAGTTGCTATTGCATTTAAGTCCATTGTTAAAAATATATAAAAATCCCAGGCGTACAATCATAAACTACGACGACCGCATGACAGGGTATTTAGTATATTTGACTATCAAATCCCAAGTACATACATAATGCATGTATTCATGGAGACATATTTAACTTTATTCTAGGCTGAGACTGCTTTAAGATGCGTATTTTAATTGTATTTCTTCAGATATCAGCAATATAAATCAATGTTGCATATATCGTCGAAAGTTGCATCGAAGTATAGCAATTTGGAATCGAAAGGTCCCAAGTGCACGCAAGGCTAAAGTTTGCAAAGAGCCCAAGTTTGCCGTGACCCAGTACTGAGCGCATGAAAACCGTACCGATGCTAGTTATCGACGATCGTTAAATCTTATCACACGTGTCGCCGATATACACACACCAACATAACGGTACAATTAACATAACGAGAATTGGCCCGCATGCGTTCTTACTCAAGTTACTAAAAAAATGCTGCACATGTTTGAGCAAAACTACTTTTATATTGAGAATGATTAAGTGATAGTTATGGTCCGACTGAAATACAAGTAGTTTACGCCCGCGACTCCATCCGCGCGGGATTAAAAAAATAGTAGCCTGTGTTTTTCCCAGACTATGTTCTCAATCTTTGTCAAATTTCAGAGGGATCCGTTCAGCCAGTCTGGAGATATGTTCAAACAAACATCCATCCATCTATCTAAACATTCGCATTTATAATATTAGTAAGACATTAATTATAACTAGAATGAATTCTATTAATATTTGAAACGTGTAAAATTGTGCGTTAGTTAATTTTTTTTCTAAGCTTACCACTATATCTATATAAGCAAACATACGTCATTCAGAGAAAAAACACTATTACTTTTACGTCTACATATTTCCTTTCTTATATACTGTGTTGCTTAAGGACAGAGGCTGAAGACTAATTTGATGATTAACGCACTAACTATGACAAATGCTTGTTAAATGGTAATTAGAATCATATGACCGAAAGAGATATATGTACATGAAGTTCTCATAGAATTGTTATATACTATTACTTGTTAAAAGGTATCTCCAGAGCAGCTTCATGGATCTCGCTGAAATTTGCCATAGATGAACACATAGGGTAATAATTAGGTTTTTTAATCCTGCGCTAAGTCACAGGCGACAGCTATTGGCTTCAAAGTTTCCAGATAAAACTGAAATTAAATATAAATCTTTTACCTTTAACTACGTATGCTTATGAATAGGACATTACAAGATTCTATAACTCTACAAACAGGAAGTATCGCTTCCTCTAATTATATACTTAGATTACAAGTTACATTTATTGTACTATCTCGGCGTCATCATGTTTTGCAACACTAAGCATTGGATAATGATTCAATGCCGACTGGGAGTGTAAACGTTTTGTCCAAAACGAACGGTACGTGACTACAGACTACTTACGATATTACATCAGTCAACCTTAGTCATAAAAGTAAATTCTATATTCATACAAGTTAACATGAATCGGCATTCAAAGAATCGCGATTGTGGTTAGTATAAAGGAAAATATTTACCCCTAAAATGTCGTTACAATTTTCCTTATTTAATATAATTTATTAACTAAAATATCGCACTGTCTCGATATATTTCTTAACCTACTAACGACCTATTTAATCTTTTTAATATTATAAATGCGAATTGGATTGTTTGTTAGAAGGTATCTCCATAACGGATCAAAGGATCTCGATGAAATTTGGAACATAGTCTGAAATAACACATGAGCTACTAATTAAGTATTTTTTTACTTTTGTGCGGACGGAGACGCGAAAACGGAATAGATGGAAACAGTGAAATAGGAAATTAAAAGTCAACAAAGTTATTGCAATCGATAAAATATGTTCAATAAGATTGGATCCAGCTTTTAAATAAGACAGTGAAAGATATTATTCAACATCACATTTAAATGACCAAAATTCTTTCTTCTAATTACAATTAAAATTACTTCTAAACAAGTTACGTATATGTGCATTTCCGCTTTAGTTCCTTCTCCGTTTCAAGCGTAAACGTAGATATTTTATGATCTAACTACCAATACATCCGCTTTAGTTCCGTAACTGTTAAACTGTACCTACGTGCACTAACAACTTTACAAATACTTATTCAAAGTATAGGTTGGGGGTACTCATAACGGACAAGGTGATTGGAGTCACGGCCGATACAATTACTATAGGCAGGGGCACTACATTTAGATATGTCCTCGACACTGGGATCGGTGTAGGTAAAAGGAAATGCAGTACTGCGTCATTACCGTCTCATACATTGTAAAAGATTCGAAACCAGTAATAAAGTTTTAAATTTAGAAACATGTTAAGTCACCAACCAAATATTTGTAGTCTTAGATAACTTCAGTTTGTACTATTTGCCATGCTTCCCTCTCTCTCTCTCTCTCGCTTTATCTCTGCGTATTTAATTAAAAAAAAATTAGATCACAACAAGTTTTATCAGTGCGATCCTATTTGTAAAAATATGTAAACGTTCAAAACTTTGACATGACATCGGCTACAGTTGGGTATAATATAATAATATTTTGTATTGGAAGAGATAATTCATTATAGTACTAACAAAAACAATGTCATATATGGAGCAACTTAAACTATTTTACCGTTCACTAATGACTATGCGTAATGTGTCAATGTTGATAACACTAAATAAGCAATCTGAACTTGGAACAATAACAATGTTTTGATTCATCAGTCTACGTACAAAATTAGTATAAATCGTATAAATCTAATGAAAGCTTTACATAAAGACAATCGAATCGATTTTATAGTCACTTAAGACCAAGCAAAAAATGATTAATCTATACTAATATTATAAAGCGGAAGAGTTTGTTTGTGTAAACACGCTAATCTCAGAAACAACTAGTCCGATTTGAAAAATTCTTTTTTTGTTGGATAGTCCATTTAAAGAGAAAGGCTTTAGGCTATATAATATTACGTTGCGACCAACAGCTTTTTTTTAATGCCGCGCGAATGGAGTCGCGAGCGACAGCTAGTAAAGTGTAAATAGCATTGTTTAGAATGACACCAATTTAATTGATGTACCATTGTTTTTTCTGCCATTTTATAAGCACGATTAAACAACAAACTCACACACTATCATACGATTTCTGACAATGCTACTATGAATCACATCAGGATATTTGGCAAAAGCTTCCCTTGAGTGCTTGCATTAAACAGTCTTTCAATTGTTTCCAGGCGATCCGATCTCGTGTATTAACGACGGTGCGATTTCCCCTCATATCTTGAATACGTACTGCTGGATTACCTACACGTTCACCCTGCCCTACACCAAGAGCAAGGGCATCGCGCATCCCGGCCTCGGCAATGATTACGAAGAGGAGAAGCGCATACACGCCTACTACCAATGGGTGCCCTTTATGCTGTTCTTCCAGGTAAGGGAAAATACATCGAAATGTTATAACTTAAAATGCAAAGGAAGTTAAATTCGCCTATGACAACATGCCTGGAATCATCAAGACATTAGATTGGAAGATATGAGGTCGAATTAATTGGACGCTTTATTCTGATAAATTACACTAGCTAGGAATCTTTACATGTTTCATGGATGACTTTTATCCTAGCATAATTAATTACAACACGTGATTAATGTTGACCACTGACCGATACTAAGTATAGTTGTGTTGTAGTATCATAACGTTACATAAAGACTTTGTATACATATTTAACAAGGTTGCTATAATAAATTCCAGGGTCTGCTCTTCTACATTCCTCACTGGATCTGGAAGAACTGGGAGGAGGGCAAGGTGCGCATGATCTCTGACGGAATGCGTGGAACATCCGCCTGCATCGCAGACGACAAGAGCAAGAGACAGGTAACATATTCCCGATCTTGTTCATATAACTGATACAATGTCCCGCTTCACCAATTGCTACAATTGAGATAAGGCACGGTGCTAATAAAACTTGATATCCCTCGTAATTGACCCCGTGATCGTTGTACGAGTAGCATTATTTGTGCGTTATTAATATCATTCATTTCATAATAACCCACAAGTTACATATTGCTTTGATAATATATTCATTAAATAGTAACGCGGTATTCATCCTAATTATAATAATTTACATTTAAATACAATCTTCAATACAGAGAAAACTACTAACGAAGCAGACCCTTAAACTATTTAGGAATATTCCGGAAATAATTTTATTAATTTGGTTAATTACAGAGTCGATTGGTCCAGTACTTGTACGACACCCTTCACATGCACAACACCTATTCTTTCGGCTATTTCTTCTGTGAGGTTCTCAACTTTGTCAACGTTGTAAGTATAGACTCTAAATATTATATCAACTGATGTTCAAAGAAATATTAATAAAATAAATATTATTTTTTAGGTTGGTAACATCTTTTTCCTGGACACATTCCTCGGAGGCGCTTTCTTGACTTACGGCACTGATGTCGTCAAATTCTCTAACATGAACCAGGAGCAACGTTTTGACCCTATGGTAAGTTCGGTACTTTTCATATTTTTAAATCCATTTGAACTTTAACTAAAATTACCATCAATTTCCAAACAATATCTTACGCTTCCTATCATCATCATCAGCTCACTATACGTACCCACCGAGGAACTCGGAGCCTCGCTTACGCTTCCTATAATAATACCAAATTTATTTTCAGATTGAAGTGTTCCCGCGTGTAACTAAATGCACATTCCACAAATTTGGTGCTTCTGGAACAATCCAGAAACACGACGCTCTCTGTGTTCTCGCCTTGAACATCCTTAACGAAAAGATATTTATCTTCTTATGGTTCTGGTAAGATATGCATATGTATTTTATAGCTAATTCGTACCTGAAGCGTACATTAAAGTGTACGACGTTAAAAACACAAAAAAATCCTTGATGGATAACACTTCCTAATGTAAAATTAATTGTTTTTCAGTCTCCGTATTTGTAGGGCATTTCCTACTTGTAGACAAAAACAACTGTACTGAGTCACTGGCTTTGCTATAAAAGAGTGTTTTAATATTTTTTTAATGATTTTAGGTTCATCATCCTGTCAGTGCTGTCGGGCTTGGCACTAGTGTATTCAGCTGCTGTGATCCTCCTGCCGAGTACCCGCGAGACTATCCTCAAGAGACGTTTCCGCTTTGGTACACCTAACGGCGTTGAGGCACTTGTTAGGAAAACTCAGGTATGGTTTAAAAAAAGGTTTTTTTATCCACTAGATAGATTGTACCAAGTCAGATGTCACTATTTGCCTTTAAACGAACAATCGTTTCAACTTTGGAGTAAATTTTGGATCCTAAATTAATATTGTTATAACTGTAACTTATTTGTACTATTTTAAAGCCACTGATGGCTGTAACATACTTTAAATAAACTAAATTTTAAGATTGCTATTTATTTTTACCAGGTTGGCGATTTCCTCCTGTTGCACCTTCTCGGTCAGAACATGTCAATGCGTGTGTTCGGTGAGGTATTGGACGAGCTGTCGCGTCGCCTGCATCTCGGCTCCAACGCACCCTCAGCGCCATCTACTCTCGAAATGGCACCTATCTATCCTAACATCGAAAAGTACTCGAAAGAAACCGAGACCTAAGCGATACGGTAAACTCAATTATGTCTCATTTACATTTTTTGAGATATCTCCCCTTGATCTTAGGTAAATCATTTTTAAATCTCAAACTATGTATTGGAGACATTGCCATTTTTTGTTCCTTATATTTAGGTATTCAGAATATTCATACGCTATAACGGTACCTAGTGTTACGATTTCTATCGAAGATAATTCCATTTCATTAGCTTCAATACATTCCTTTGTGTAGACAATATTACCTTTGTTAAGGTATCAAAAACAGTTTACCTTGTTATTAGGCTTTTACATGGTCTCAATCTGAATGTTGTGAATGATAGTATTTTATAATTATAGCTCCTTTTGGGGATCATATACTAAATTGATGAGCATGACATTAGTTGTTAAATATATGTAGTGAAAGCATTGTGAATTGACAATTAGACAATAAAGAGAAATGTATGAAAAATTGAGAAACAAAACAGTGTCTGTGATCTTACCTATGCAGGGTAATATAAAAAATCACTAATCCTAGAAAAAATATACACTCTCTAAATTAAACATATCTAAAACATAGTAAAAGACATATCGCTCAAATTATTCAGCATCGATTTAAAAATGTAAAACTGTATACATAGTTTTTAAACGAAATACTTTACATCGTTGAAAGTATTATATTTTGTCTACTGATTTCATTTAGTTTAAGATAGTAAATAAACGACATAAGCGATATGAATTAAATCTTAGTTTATATAAGCTTATGGTGAATCATGTATGAAATAAGTGAACATTGGTGCAAAAGAGGTGTGTATAATCTGTATAAAAAATGTTATACTCGTTTACTGTACTCTGACCATTGTGCCATTGAAGCCGTGTAGATGCACCAGGCTTGCATTTGACGAAAAATGAATTCCACTTTTTTATATATTGACATAATTAGTATATAAGTTTTTTTTTTCTATCAGTCATTTAAGCCATATACAATAAGTGCCTTATGTATCTAACATCAATGAATCTCCAAAATTCTTCCATATTAATAATTAAGGCATAATAGCACATATAGGATATGTAGAATAATGAAATTTATTATTGCAAATTTAAACTAAGTATCGATTAATTTGAATTTAAGCATTCCTAGATTAGATTCGTTTTGTTGTATTCAACATTATTTTTAGGAAGACTGCCTTTGTAACGATTTCTATATCAATGTAATTTCTTTTTGATTTAGAATAAAATGAATTATAATATATCAGTGTTTTATTTGGATATTCCTATATTTTTATTAGAAAAGTCACGTTGACATTTTGAATTTTACAGATCGCTTGACATAATATTTGTGAAATAGAAGGCATGTCTAGTCGCAGTGCTGTGTAATTTCCATCAGCCTTTAGTGAACAGCACTTAATATCACAAACGTACATTTAACCAATTTTGCTTAGTTCTGACACTAGAGGGCTTTAATTATAATTAGTTTTAGAATCTAAACATATATTTTTGCAACTAAAACTAAACTACCAAGACAATGTTTTTTTATAGTGTTCGACCAGCGAATAAGTAAATATAGATATAGCGATTTACTTTACATCAATAATCGTCTCCTCACGTGACTATAAAGTCTGAAAAATCTTCAACATGGCCTCTATAAATAGACTGGCTATAAGACGTACTTTTTTGCTCCAATTTGATTATGCATTTTTGCGCTGATGGTAGCAGTGGTGTGGATTCAAACTAATAACATAGATAAAGGTAACTGTCACGTAACACCAACAGCCGCGTTTAAGCATGTGGGAACGAAGCAAAAGCTGTCATTTCCCAATCCATCAGTGTTAACATTAAATCAAATCAATTTAGCAAGAAAAAATAACTCACCTATTTCCCCAGTCCAGTTTGGCAACGAGCTTCAACCGCAGCGCACGCGTTTGGTCCTGCGTGAGCGTGCCGGCGAGGAGAGCACGTCGTCCACCTAATAACTCTCGCATCACCTTTGCCACCGCACTAAATCTGTACGTTTCTCGCTCCTGGAAGTTACACGACTATTAATAAAAAGCAAATTATAAAAAAAAAACTAGGAGCCTAAAAACATAGGGAATTTTTTTTCATTCTGTGCGTCCCTTCGATCGATTAAAGGCAGGCAACGCATCTGCAATTGCTGATGTCAATTGATGAATACAGGTGGCCGGTTATTTGTTTGCAGCCTTATAATATAAAAAAAGTATGATTGACTACACACTAAGGGTCACCAAAGTAAATCTTTCTTTCTTTCTTTTCTTCTTATCTATGTTTCGTAGCTAAAAGGAATGGATACTAAAATAAAAAAATTGCAGGAGACAGTAAAAGCTTGGTTATTTAAACTAGAAAAATATCGTTACAAAATTGAAGACAAACCTCTCAACAAAATAATTTCAAGGTATAAAGCGGAATTACCTTTAATTAGTTTGAACTTACGTCATACTTAAAAAAATCTTGGACCAGACAAATAGCATCGGTAATTATCTTATTTGTATAATCATTAGTAACGAGAACAGACATTCGGACAAACAATAACTTAAACCAATGACTAGTTTACAATTCTCACTTATCTATAACACAATTGAAGACAATAGAACATGTAAAGAGGTGTCTACACTAATGAATATTTCATTTCTTCACGTATAAACTTTTCTATACTAATAAAGCGGTAAAGTTTGGTTGAATTGTGTCATTAACTAATTGAATTTAAATAATTAAAGCTCTATATTTCTTGAATAAGAACATAACTACAAGAAAACTAGCCATTTAGTTGCAGATGAGATGAAATTTATAATAGACTAGCTGTTGCCCGCGACTTTGTCCACGCGGAATTTAAAAAAAAAAATAAGTTATGTATGCGTTCTTCCAGATTATGATCTACATCTAAGCCAAATTTCAGCCAGATCCATGCAGCCGTTCTGGAGATGCCTTCAAACAAACATCCATCCATCTTAACATTCGCATTGGTAATATTAGTACGATAGTAAGATTCCATTAATATTTGCCCAAAACTATAGTTTGAAAATATAAGTTTTTTTTAAGACATTTGAAGACTTAAAATCAATGCAGCCGACTATTTAAAAAAATATTGGTGTAAACGCGGCCTATTCCCACTCCAGATATCATGTTAAGACCACAAATCAACCGCAAAACTATACAAATTGAGGCGTAAACATATTAAAGCAGAATAAAACTATTTGAGAAGGTGATAAGTAACAAATGATATCCATTCATCTTACTAATATTATACATGCAAAAGGATGGATGTTTGTTAGAAGGTTTCTCTAAAACGGTTGCATGAATCTCGCTGAAAGATGTAGAACGTAGCCTTAAAAAAACACATACGCATTTGCTTCAGTTTTTATTTAATTCCGAACGAACGGAGTCAAAGGTGACATCTTATTCTGTATAGAATCCGAATATGCATATTGTTTATTTAATCATGTTATTAGATCTTCATACAATGAGGTCAGAAAATACCAACATGATAGGATAAACAACAATAAGCAAATAACAAGACAATAGTTAACGTCTGTGCAACAATTGCGTCACTCAAAGATATGATACGTTTGAAGCGAAATTACAATAAGATAACATCAACATTTACTGCACAGGCTTAAAGATGACCGAAAGTTCAAAATTATAACGAAAATAATGTCTAGAACAATCACTATTTTTATTTTGTTGTTACTTAAATGTATTTAACATTATATCTGTCATGTTATATGAATGTTGCGCCAATGGAAACCCACGGTAAAAATTGAAAACAAATTTTCCAACACAACAGTCAATGTTCTCCATAAAGTTTTCATATGGGAGGGCAATAAGAAGGGATCCATATATGTCCGCGTACAATTACGCGATATAATAAATATGTCCCGCGCGTCCGTCGCTTCCGGACTGCGGACTTTGACCATGTTCAACGACGTGATAGCAATGGAACACAAATCATATTCGGTTCCGGCCCCTGATGTATAGCAAATATGCGCAAGCGCAAAATTATTGCACATTTAATATTTGCAATTGCATTCTTATAATGGTATAAAGCCAAAAATATAGAACTCTCTAAGCTTTGAACTTTACATCACACTAGCTGTCGACCGTGACTCCATCCGCGCGAAATAAAAAAGAACCTATGTATAAAAGTAGCTTATGTGTTCTTCCAAGCTATATTCTACATGTATGCCAAATTTCAGCTAAATCCATGCATCTGTTCTGCACATACCTTCTAACAAACAGCTATCCATCCATTCAAACATTCGCATTTATAATATTATTAAGAAGTAAGATTGGTCTTAACATATAAACACAAGAAAATACATACTTATAAGGACATGAATAACTCTATAAATGGTCAATAGATACTTTTTTAGGAAAGGTATGCACATAGATTATGTAAAAACAGAGTTGTTAACTCTTAAAAAAATAATATATTCCTTACCTACTATTGTTATTGGAATTAGATTAAATATATTTCTTATACATACCACATAAAGCTTCTTCCAGAGACGTGCCCAATCCCTCAAGACGCTTGCTATCTCCCGCACCAGAGGATCATCTTTCAACTCCGCAATCGCTGTGGCGCCTGTTCCTTTGACCGTACACGGTCTAATTGATACCACACACGCCGGGAATATGCCCCATGCTGATCTGTTTGTTGTACTGAAGCCTCGATACCAGCCTGAAAGTAGCAAACATAAGTTTAGAAGTTATATGGACTTGAGTAAGTTTGTGAAAGGAGACATTAAAAGTGGTGGCTTGTATGAGTCTGAGATGCTTACAGAAGTGTGGCATGAATCAGGTGGTTACCAAGTTAGGTGCTGAAGACCTAATATCCTTCACTTCAGCATTTTTAACTTTAGTGGGTGTATCGATGTAAAATATTGTAAACTTAATAAAAATCTTACCTCCATTTTCTTCTAATATTTGCACTGTCTCTCCAATTTCCAAAGGTAATCCGGAACGTACATCTCCTTTCCAGTTGTAGACAGCTGAAAAGGTTTATTTTGATTGTAAATTTTAAAAAGTAACATTTTAGTCGATTGTTTCAATAAAAATTGTCTTACAAAAACATATCTTACTAATATTATAGAGTAATTAAAAATATGAATGTTTAGATTTTTATTAAAAGTATCTACAGAATGGCAGCATGGACATTGTTGAAATTCAGCATAGATGTAGAATATAGCCTGGAAGAAGACATAGGCTACTAATTAACTTTTTTTTAATTCCATACCAACTGAGTTGCGGATTATAGCTAGTAATTTATAAGTATAATTTATTTATTCCAAGAAACTCTCAACTGTTTGCAAGTTGTTATAACATTTGCTTCTTATATAGTCACATGTTAGTGTGTTTGTCAAGATAACATTTTTTAATTGTTTTTTTATTGATGTTATTATGAGCTATGATATAATTTTTTAACTGAAATAATTTAAGGGGACTTTATATTTGTATAATTAAAAACAAGAAGTATTTCCATTGATTATTTAAATTAGTTGCCACATGTATATTAAACATAATGGTAGTGAATTGAAAATCTCTTAGAATATATAATGTTCAAAATAAAGAAATTATTGAAAACTTGTAACTAAAATACTGATTTTTTTTAAGTTGCCTTGTATGAATAGATTGTGAAAGTATGCCACATAGTATTCAACACAAACATTTAATCATAATGCAGACATTTAAATATACAAATGTTTTCTTGCAGAAATGTTAAGATCTTTTGTTAAAAAAAAATCCTTTGTACTTTTGTATAGCGTGAAACCTAGTATATCTCGACGATAGGCGGAAGATAAGGAGAAGTAACATTTTAAAATATTATTTATTAAAAATTCAAGACATGTCTTAACATTTCCGCTGTAATAGTAATCAGGATACATTAATTTTGATTAAAACTATATGTCAAACTTACCGACACCTAGTTTAGGTGTTTTTGATGCAATCCACATTATTACGATGATACGTTTAAAATATAAAGTCAACACCACTTAAAGACATCACTGATATACAAGAAAAAGTGCAAAATTTTATCCAAAAACAATAAACACAAATTGTACTACAGCTCTCATTCAACCTCTCAAATTCTCAAATCTGTTGTTATGTAGATTGCACATAGATTAAAGCAAAGAGTATTTAAAAATGAATGATCTACAGACTGAATATTAAAGGAAATGCACTGAAAGTGCACCAAAAAAGCAAAGTTGGCGTTATATTTACTTAAAAACTAATAAAA